ACCTTCTCATGTGCTTTTGGCCATTTGTGCACCGTCTGGGGCAGAGTCCAGCAGGGGACAGATCGTGCACAGCCTTCAGTCCAGGCTGTTGCATTTGCACCTCATTCTCCAGCAATGGAGAGGAAGCGCGGCCACTCAGACTGTGAAGGCACTGGACGTGGAGGCATCTGGAACCACAGCCTGGAGTCTGTGTCAGGAGAGATGGAGGCAGGAGGTGAGGAGGGTTCGGTTACCAGGGAAAAGGTGAGGTCCTAGGAATAACCAAGGCCAGGATGGAGAAAAGGGCTCCAAGATGAACCCTTCTTAGTGCCAGGCCTCTGAGCCCAAGTTAAGTCATCATATCCCCAGTGACCTGCACGTATACATCCAGATGGCCTGAAGCAATTGAAGATCCACAGAAGTGAAAATAGCCTTAACTGATGACATTCCACCATTGTGATTTATTTCTGCCCCACCCTAACTGATCAATGTACTTTGTAACCTCCCCTACCCTTAAGAAGGTTCTTTGTAATTCTCCCCACCCTTGAGAATGTACTTTGTGAGATCCACCCCCTGCCCCCAAAACATTGCTCCTAACTCCACCGCCTATCCCAAAACCTACAAGAACTAATGATAATCCACCACCCTTTGCTGACTCCTTTTTCGGACTCAGCCCGCCTGCACCCAGGTGAAATAAACAGCCATGTTGCTCACACAAAGTCTGTTTGGTGATCTCTTCACATGGACACCTGAAACACTTAGGAGAAGGAGGAACAAGAGCTAGTAATTTATGGGATCTGGAGAAGGGAAGGAGGTCAAGGTGGAGACCCACATCCTGGTTCTGGTTTTAAGAGATGCAGCCTCTGTGTCATCAGTGGGATCCCAGGAGGAGAAGTGGGTTTGGAGAGGAAGATGGGTGGCTCAGGTTTGGCCATGCTGAGCAGAGCAGCCCTGGAGGCCACTTTTGGGGGTGTGTCCAGTGGGATGTTAGAGGGTGAGACTCCGAGGACACTCACCGGCGAGATGAACTTTGCACGGTGTCTGCAGCCTCCATGCCTGCTGCTGTTGCCGCCTTCCTCCTGTGGGACCTGACACTGAGTCAAGAGACCACGGCCCATCAGTGTGGCTGGATCCCAGTGCAGAGGGCAGCAGACTCACCTCCCTGTGCCCTGCTAAGGGACTGAGATGGAGAGAGCAGGCTTAGCCCACCTCCACAATGATAGCAGGAACCTCTCACCCTGGACTTTTGACCAGCATCAGGCATGGATAACCATTGGCCCCTGTGGAATTTTCACCACAACTCAGCCTCTGCTGACCCCAGGCCCTCTTGACTTATTCAGGTCCCCCCAGCACAGGGATCCAGAATTCAGTGTCATGGCCCCTGCTCTTCCCACACCTCCCCTTAGTCTCTGGGACAGCTCTCACCTGAGGAGGATGAGGTAGAGGCAGAGAATCAGGATCTTTGCAGCTGCCTCACCGACGGCCACCAGAACCACCACCGCCACGGGCCCTGATTTCCCGGCAGAAAAGTGGGATGAGACGGATTCACCTGCTAAACCAAGCTCCCTTGTCTTCCCATGGCAGAAGGAATTGGACATTGGTTCTCCAGGTCCTTCCTGTATCACTGGATGTGGGGCCACATGAGCCCAGGGCTCATCACACCACTTTCTAAGACTGTCCAACCATAAGCAGGGGCTCTTGGCCCCAGGACATTTCTGGCTCACTGCTGAGCTGAGGACACTCCTAATCCTCCCAGTTTGGAGTTGTTCTCTGTTCAAGGAAAGGATCTGCAGCAGGTCCAGGCTGCAGTATAAGAAGCTTTACAACTTGGGGTTTATAACTCAAGATGCAATCGTACTTGAAGTGTGTGGAACAATTAAGAATGTCGGTGCATCCCAGGGTGAAGACCCCTACGACTTTTGTTGCAAAGTCATGCTCTGTTTTTCAGAACATGGCGGATCTCTTGAGAAAGAGCTTCCGACTTGTTACCAGGCCTTGGTAGATGCTGATACCCTGACTATGGGATATGAAATGAATACACGATACAAACTGCTCATCATGAAGTAGGTGCTCTGTGACCCACCAAGCTAAAAAGTTGGGCATGTGAAGAAGTAATTCATTGAAAAGTGAATTTGGATATAACAGACTTCAAGATGGGCTTCAAGAGGTCGAGAAATCACAACCAAGTGATATGAGCAGGTGGCCCAGATTCCTACAACTCCTCCTGTGTATAGTGTCTTATTTTTTCATGAAATCACACCTATGGCCTCATGGGCAGTTCTTTACGTCCCTTGCTTGAGGAGGAAAACATTTCATCTTGGTTTTCAAGTGGTTCTGCTCAATCAGCGGACACAGCAAGGAGTGGACTTTGCATCATGCATGACAAACTCAGCTACAGTGAACCTGAAAGCTGGGCTGAAGGAACTCCCCCTAGTGGCAGAATTTCATAAATACATTTGGCTTTTCATTTATTTGAGACTGAGAGGTCGAAGGACAGATAGCAACTGAACCCTGCCTTTTCATCTTGGCGCGGATTGGAGCTATTTACATTTTGCAAATCTGTTCTTCCAGTCAGTTATTTGTCACTAACTTTTATAATGTTTTTCACCATGTAGAACATTTTAAACCCGCCTGGTTGCTGAGTTCCATGTCATTCTTCTGTCTTTCTTCATTCTATGGTTGTAAAAATGTCTGTCTAATATGTGCTTTGACAAATTAAAAAAAAAAAAAAGAAACTGAACCATGACTGTAGGATTGGGTAACACATTTTTTCCTAGAAATTTGTCCATTTTATATAAATATTCAAAGCTTTTCATACAGCTTACTACTTTCTGCTTAATTTGTATTAGATTAACGTTTTCTCCCTTATATTCCTGCATACCAGTTATTTTTGCCTTCTATATTTCTGGATTAATTGCAACTGAGGTTTGCCCATTTTATTATTTGTATCAAAGAACTAGCAGTTCGCTATGTGCTCTTATCATTTGATATTTCCTTCCCTCCAATTCCTTTTGGTTTTGTTGTTCTTTTTCTTTTTTTCTTTTTTTTTTTTTGAGACGGAGTCTCGCTCTGTCGCCCAGGCTGGAGTGCAGTGGCCGGATCTCAGCTCACTGCAAGATCCGCCTCCCGGGTTTACGCCATTCTCCTGCCTCAGCCTCCGGAGTAGCTGGGACTACAGGCGCCCGCCACCTCGCCTGGCTAGTTTTTTGTATTTTTTAGTAGAGACGGGGTTTCACCGTGTTCGCCAGGATGGTCTCGATCTCCTGACCTCGTGATCCGCCCGTCTCGGCCTCCCAAAGTGCTGGGATTACAGGCTTGAGCCACCGCGCCCGACTTGTTGTTCTTTTTCTAAATTCTTGAAATTAAAGCTTAGTTTATTAAATTTTAGCTTTTCCCATCTCTAGCATATAAGGTTATATATATTTCCTCTAATAAATGCTTTATTTTTACTCTAAAAGTTTCATAGTATTTTCAGTATCCAGTTTTAAATAATTTCTTATTTGTGTTATGATGATAATGATGATTTTTTTTTTTTTTAAGATGGAGTCTCATTCTGTTGCCCAGGCTGGAGTGCAGTGGCTCGCAGATTCAAGCAATTTTCCTGCTTCAGCCTGCTGAAGTACCTGGGATTACAAGCAAGCACCACCACACCGAGCTAACTTTTGTATTTTAGTAGAGATGGGGTTTCACCATGTTGGCCAGACTGGTCTCGAAATCCTGACCTCCAGTGATCCACCCCCCTCAGCCTCCCAAAGTGCTGGGATTACAGGTGTGAGCCACCGCTAACTGTGGTCTTCTAAGTGTAATCTGTCTTTTTATTTTTCGTGGCTACTCTTAAGAATTTTTCTTAATAGTTGGTCTTCATTAGTTTTCTTCAATTTCACTGAAAGAGTGGAGACTGGGATTTGTAAGAGGAAGTTGCTGAAATGGACATGGGGTATTGGTGACTGGTGAGGAACTGAGTTGGGGAAATCTGGATGGAGAAGGTCATGTAGACAGCCTTGAGCAGAAAGATGATGGATGGAAACTTTATTTTGGGGAGTCATGAAGACTTCTGAACAGGGAATGATACAGACACCTGGTGCTGTGGCCGCTGGGCCTGCTCCTCTTTAGCCTTAGGAGAAATTGCCAGCAGAAACCGTTTATTAAAACTGCTAACCAGGCCAGGCACGGTGGTTCACGCCTGTAATCCCAGCACTTTGGGAGGCCGAGGTGGGCGGATCATGAGGTCAGGAGATGGAGACCATCCTGGCTAACACGGTGAAACCCTGTCTGTACTAAAAATTCAAAAAATTAGCCAGGCGTGGCGGCGGGCGCCTGTAGTCCCAGCTACTTGGGAGGTTGAGGCAGGAGAATGGCGTGAACCCAGGGAACGAAGCTTGCAGTGAGCTGAGATCGCGCCACTGCACTCCAGCCTGGGTGACACAGGAAGACTCCGTCTCAAACAAACAAACAAACAAACAACAACAACAAAAAACAGGTAACCAAAGCCAGATACAAGGCATTTATTTACAATAATATACAGACTTTATGAAAAACTTTGTGTCAGGGCCTTCGTTAGCTGTTTTACAGCTGACAAAGCTGTATGTTAGCTGTATGCTTTCTTTGACCTTTCACAATAATCTGGTTAGACAGAAATTATTTCCCTGCCTTACAGAGCAGGGAGATAAAGTGACTTGCTCAGTAACTGGCATAGATAGAGTTGAACTCAGTTCTGTTGGACGGAAGTCCTGTGATCTGCCATATATACTAAGGAATTTATATAGTCCATTGACAACAAAAATATTAATTTTTTAAAAAATTGGACACAGTGCTATGGGCTAAGTTGTTCTCTTCTAAAATTCATATGTTGGAAGTCTTAAATCTCAATATCTCAGAAGGTTACTGTATTTGGAGGGTCTTTAAATAGTTAATTTATTTAAATTAGGTCACAGAGAAGCCCTAATCCCATATGACTAGTGTCTTTGTAAGAAGAGAAGATTAGGACATAAACACACTCAGAGGTAAGACCATGTGAAGACACAAGAGAGGCCTTAGAAGGAACCAACCCTGATAACACCTTGTTCTCAGACCTCTAACATCTAAAACTGTAAGAAAATAAAGTTCTGTGTTTACATCACTCAGTCTGTGGTACGTTGCTGCGGCAGCCCTAGTAACCAATACACTGAGAGGTACCATGTTGTCTCCAATCAAGGTTATGGCTTTGGACAATTCCTCACTTGCGTATCTTGATTTCTGAGTATTCAGTGTTGGTGACCTCTGGTTCCTGAAGCTGCACCTTGTGGAAGCGTAGGAAAGCATAGTGGAGCTCCTGCTCATCTCCTGAGACGGGGTCAGCCTCAGCAGGGTGGTCTGAAACTATGCCTCTCTGGAACTGGTGCTGATGACCCTGAATGGAAGAAAAGAAAAGATTCAGGGCTGGACAATAGGTTCTCAAAGATAGCAGCCAAGGATCAGAAAAGGAGTAGAACTGATGGAACTTTATTATTTATCCATTCATTTATTATTTTATTTTATTTTTGAGATGGGGTCTCGCTCTGTTGTCCAGGCTGGAGTGCAGTGGCATGATCACGGCTCAGGCAGCCTCGAACACCTGGGTTCGAATGATCCTCCTGCTTCAGCCTCCCATGTAGCTGGGACTACAGGCATGCACCACACCTGGCTAATCTTTGTAGAGATGGAGTTTCACCATGTTGCCCAGGCTGGTCTTGAACCCCTGGGCTCAAGGAATTCACCCACCTTGGCTTCCCAAAATGCTGGGATTACAAGCATGAGTCACCACGTCCACTGCATTCATTTATTTTTAAATATTTAATAATTAAGATTGGCCAGCCCTTAGTGAGTGTTTACATTAATCAGTCATATTCTATTCTCAAAAAAATGCTTTGGAGTGGATTCCATGATGACATTCATCTTACAAACAGGAACACTGAGGCTAAGAGAGGCTCCACATATTGCCTAAAGACACACGTCTACACACATGCACCACTGAGCAGGACTCAGAACCAGCTTATTGTGTGGGTCATGTGACATGTGCTATACGTTAAGCCATGAAGAAAGCAGACACGGTCCCAGATAGTAGGCAGTGTGGTTTCCTATGAGATGAAGTTAGTTAAAAACAGAAACAAAATCACATTTTTAATTCATGATAGCAGATATTTTGAAATATAAAACAGGGGCAGGAGTGGCATATCTGGTTCCTAGACAGGTACTGGAGGACAGAGCAGAGACTGAGTCCTGCAGTACAGGCCACCAAGCGCCATCTCCCAGATAGTAGGCAGTGTAGTTTTCTATGAGATAAAGTTAGTTAAAAACAGGAAACAAAATCACATTTTTAATTCATGATAGCAGATATTTTGAAATATAAAGCAGGGGCAGGAGCTGCGTATCTGGTTCCTAGACAGGTACTGGAGGACAGAGCAGAGACCGGGTCCTGCAGAACAGGCCACCAGACACCCTCTCCTATACCTTCTCTTTCCAACACCCCTGAAAACTTGAAAGTAAAGCATGGTAAAGAAATTATGTAATGATTCCCAACAAGGTGGGGATTTAACACACACTAAGTGTGTTGTTCCTCCAAATAAACCAAGAGGCAATACAAGAAATTATGGAATGAGCAAATAAGAAAAAGTGGGAAACCTCTGGGGAAACAAAATATTTTATAGTGGGGTGTGTGTGTGTGTGTGTGTGTGTGTGTGTGTGTGTGTGTTCAGGGAGGCATTGGTGACAGTGGATGAATGGTTACAGAAATGAGATTTATATTCTGCTCATGCCTGTCCTCTATCATTGGGATAATATTTTCCTGCCTGCATTCTTGCTACACAAATCAGTGGCAAAGTCCGAGACTAAAGGTGTGAATTTCTATAGGAGAAATGGCAGATCAGCACAAAAGTCCTACTGAATGAAGAAAAGAACAGGTGGAAATTGCCTCTCCCTGGCCTTCCCCTTGCCACCTTCCCCCATCCACACATCCCAGATTTTTGGAAGACAGTCTAGGTATTACCTCCCCTAGCACCAGTTTTTCCTGAGGGTCCCAACAACAGAAATTACGACTTGAATTATTCTTGGTCAGTTCTCATTCAGGCTATGGTAGAGTAACTGGCACCCTCCCAGCATAATTAGAAAACTATACATAGTATGTGACATAAGTGTTTTACAAGGCAAACAGGCAGCCCAGGACTGTAACATCTGAAAGAAAGGAAACCAATGAGGTGAGTCCCATGATCAAATGACAATTTCCAAACTGCAGTATGTGGAGGATAAATCCAAGAGGAACACAAGAATCTTAGGAAGCTGTGGAGGCAGCAACTGCAGTTCAAGTGGGAATGGTGTGGGTGGAATTTGTAGAGCAGAGTACAGAGAGAAACAACTACACAGGGAAAGAACTCCAGAAAGTATGCATAGAGGTCCCCTTGAATCTTTGGCTGAATACTAAGCTGTGTGCACACAGTGAAAGGCTGAAAGCCTGGGTACATGCTGCTGGAGAAGGAACAGCTATGAGAAAGCTGGAATGAAGGCAAATAGAAAGTCACCCTACCAAAGCTTTTATAAAAATCTTTGACTGGGCCTAGACGATCCGCTAATAAATTAACTGCATTTGAGAACAAAGTTCCACAATTTTTAAAGGAAGATTAAAATATCCAGATAATCAACAATATAACACAATGTCTAGTATGCCACCAAAATCGCTACCTATGCAAAGAAGCTGTGGAATGTAAGCAGTGAAAAGTATATCGGTAAATAGAAACATATCGGCCGGGCACGGTGGCTCAAGTCTGTAATCCCAGCACTTTGGGAAGCCGAGACAGGTGGATCATGAGGTCAGGAGATCAAGACCATCCTGGCTAACACGGTGAAACCCCGTCTCTACTAAAAAACACAAAAATCTAGCCGGGCGAGGTGGCGGGTGCCTGTAGTCCCAGCTACTCCGGAGGCTGAGGCAGGAGAATGGCATAAACCCAGGAAGCGGAGCTTGCAGTGAGCTGAGATCCAGCCACTGCACTCCAGCCTGGGCGACAGAGCGAGACTCTGTCTCAAAAAATAAATAAATAAATAAATAAAAAGGTAGTAATATTTTAAAACTACCAAAAAGGCAAAAAAGGGTGATAAATATAAAAGGACAAATATAAATGTAAAGCAAAGAGCAATCTGGTAGGATTAAACTGAGCCAAATAAATAATCACATTAAATATAAATGGTCTAAACACTCCAGTTAAAAGGAAGATATTGGCAGACTTGATAAAATAGGTAGAATAAACGTTGTGATATCTGTAAGACAGACACAATACATATGACGGCACAAATGTGTTAAAAGTAAGAGGAGAGAAAACACATAACAAATAAGCACTAATATTAAGAACACTAGAGTGGCAATATTAAATCAGACAGTATATTTTAGGAAAAGAAATATTACCAGAAATAAAGACATTTCATAATGATAAACAAGCCAATTCATTAAAAGATATAAAAATCCTAAGTGCATATGCAACCAATCACAGAGCATGATTTAACAAATAAATTGTAAAAGTAAGCAGACAGAAAATCACTAAGGATATAGAAAGCTTGAACACTAGTGTAAAATAACTTGACCTAATTGACATTTGTAGACTACTACATCCAGTATCTTCCGAAAACACATTCTTTGCAATTGCACATGTAACATTCACCATGGTAGACTGATATTTCATGTGCTTGTACTACCAGTGACTGAGATAAGAGTTTTTTAAAAATTGACTATAGAGTGTGTACCACTCTAATGGAGAGGAGATAGAATAGCAAGTAGACATTAGCTCTCCAACTAGACTGTCCAGAAGGACACGTTGAGATTCATCAAGGAAGCAACATGACCCAGAGTGCAGAGAAGAATGAGACAAGGCAGCTCTGTACCCGGGATTGGCATGGAGTCAAAGGAGGCTCCCCACCGCAGGGAAACAGTGAATGAGTGACAGCCCGCAAGGACCCACACTTCTGCCATGGACCTTTGTAATCCTGGGCATGAGAGCTCCCCCTGAGGCCTCCAGACTGACATGGAGAGCTGTGTGGAGACTGGGCAGAGCCACTGCTCAGGCCCATGTGGAGTCCCAAGGGCCTTGGACCTATGAGCACCTGGGCACCAGTATCATAGCTCCACTACCAAGAGAGGCCAGGCTCTCTCACACGCCCTCAGGGTAGAGACCACATTTACGGGGCTGAGGAGCAGATGGTTTGCAGACCTCACCTCTGCTACAACTCGCTAGACAAAGTTCACTGGCCTGGGACCCCAGCACAGCCACCCCACCGCTGCCTGAGCACCTGGGCCAGTAGCAGCTCTCCATTTCTCTGGGACAGGGCTCCCAGAGGTAACAGACAAGCCTGCTGGGTTTTTTTTTTTTTTTGCCTCCACAGGTCCCACTCCTACTCCTCTGAGGCTGGAGAAGGAGAAAAGAGCATAAGGGCTATCACTGGCCCTGCTTTATGGAACACACTGGAACTGCTTTATGGAAAAGCAGCCAGACTGTTTCAGCGTGGGTCCCTGCCCCATTATTCCTCACTGAGAAGGACCTCCTGACCTGGGCCCCCAGCACAGCTGCCCTACCCCCACTTGAGTTGGTGGCAGTTATGTGTTTCTCTGGGGAGGATATCCCTGGTTCAACCCACAGCCTCTTTGTCATTGCCACTGCAATGGTACTGCCCTTGATGCCTTCAGGCTGGGAAAATAATAAAGACCTTGATCACTTTGCTGGCACCTCCAACACACTGCAACCACCATACAGAAAGGAGCCCAGACTCGCTTCCCTGTGGGCCTCCTACTCCCCACTCTTCACCAGGCAGGGCCTCTGGCTGGGGCCTGCAGCACAGTGGCCCCACCCCTAGATGAAAGTTCCTATTGGCCGTGGCTCTGTGTCATTCTGGGGTGGAGCTCTCAGAGCAGCTGGCAGCCTCTCTGCCATTGCTGCTGCAGCCATACTGCTCTCGCTGCTCTCAGGCTGAGGAAGGAACAAAGAGCCTGATTTATTTGGTGGAACCTCCAGCATGCCACAGCACTACAGAGAGGAGCCCAGTCTCTCTTCCCTGTGAGCCTCCAACCATTACTCTTCACCGGGTAAGTCCACCTGCTTGGGCTCACAGCACAGTTGCCTCAACCAGGGGTGATTATTCCAATTGGCAGCAGCTCTGCATTTCTCTAGGATGAAGCCCCAAGAAACAAGGAAAAAGCCCTCTATCATTGGCACTTCCAAGGTCCCTGGCCCTGCTGCTCCAAGCTGGGGAGGAAACAAAATGCCTGGGCTCACCAAAGGGCTGTAGTGTGCAGCCCAAGAGTGCCAAGTCAAGATCTGTAGCCAGCACTTGAGTGACAGAGGAGCCCACACTCTCAGAGCACTGGGAGGGAGCATGGCTGCAAATGTGAGG